TATTTCTGTTGTCCAATTGGGTGTATATCCTTTCTCGAAAACGTTTTTATATTTGCTTACTCGAACTTTGTCACCAATTTTATACTTTGGTCGTCTTAAAGGAATTTTTCTCAGTTTAGAGATCCTTTCTTTTAAAATTTCAACGTCTTCTGAAGTAACACCTTTAGGCTTCATTCCAATTGTTCTATGTTTTGTATAATTATAGTTGGAAATAAGAGTAGGCAATATATCATACCACTTGTAATTTCCTCGTAAACTAAATTGCATCCACATTTTTCTTTTTAGTGTTCGATTAAACCGTTCAACAATGGAAGCTTTCATATTACTGTATGTTGAATAAAAATTTATTTTATGCTTTTTCATTAATGCTTCAAATTGTGAGTTATAGAATTCTTTTCCTTTGTCACTATGCAAGTTTTTTGGTATGCGTTTTTTAGCAAATATAGATTGCATTGCATGAGAAACATCTTTTCCATTTTTACTTTTTACTCGCAGGCCTGGGCAGAACATTGCTCCGCGTGCTCCGCGTGAGGGGAATGACTCCCCACTCTTAGGCTTAGCAGTAGTTTTCTTTCTCTCTCTAAGCGCTAAGCATATTGCTAAGCCTAAGAGTGGGGGGTCATTCCCCTCACGCGGAGCAATGTTCTGCCCAGGCCTGAAATTTTACTGGAACAGCCCAAGCATATTTCGAAAATATGTCTATAACTGTTAGTAAATACTTGAAACCTTTATTTATTTTTGAATAAGGTATCATTTCTACTAAATCTGCTTGCCAGGTCTCATCAATATCACGCATTTCAACTCGCCGTCGAGGATAATTTTTTCTAGCCTGAGTATGAAGTTCATTCACTACTGTTAATTTTTTATCAGCCATCACTGTTGAATAAATTTAGCCTCTTTGATAATATAATTCTGATGTGATTCAATTTCATTAAGTTTTTCGGTAACTCGTGCTTCAATAACTAGAATAAAATTATTCAAGTCATCAAAAGCTGATCTTAAAGAAGATGTAATTTGAATAACAGGTTTTATCTCGTTTCGTATAATATGTTGGGCAAGTCTTAAATTTATTGCGTCGTGTTGCTCTTCAGCGTCAGCAAGATTACAGAGTTTTCTTCCTTTAACGTCAAAGTTACCTTGGGAATTAAGTTTAAAACCAACTCAAGGAGGCCCTCGTCTTGCTGTTCCTCTTTGATTGAGAGGATGTCCGAACACGTCAATGCTCATTGTTGAAATGAATGATATTTGCTAAAACATATCTTAATATATAATTTTAGCTTCTCGCAGTTCCTCAATGATAGACATGATTTCATTATTGTGACTAGGATTTCCAGCATCTTGAGAAGCCATTAATAGTCTAAGACGGTCAACCAACTCATTCGGATCATCCCAATAGATATATTCTCGTTGAAAATTTCTGTTTGTAATCATAAATTTAGGTAATGAACTACCGCTTACAGATGGCTGTTTTTTAGGTGTTCGAGGGAAGAATTGAGATATAAAATTCAAATACTTGTAACTCTTATCCGTACGTATAGACTCAGAGGAACTTTACTTCTTTTTGTGTGCATTAGTATCAATCAGAATCTCTTTATAATTTCTTTCATCATCTTCACTTATAAGCGATGTAGTAGGTTTACTTTTAAATAAAAGTTCAAGTAATCTAAGCGTTTGAAGATATCGTTTATTACCAATTTTTACATGCTGATCTTCAAGAGTTATTGGTGTATCACCAATCATAAGTGACCCATCACTTAGCTTACGTACGCCGTATGTTGAATCTAAACATTGCTTTCTATTATGATTTAATAAGTATAGAAATTTATTACTTATTTTATCATCATCTGGAGATTTTTCAGTTTCACTTTCATAGTTTATGCTATCATCATCCTTCTGCTCTTTCTTTTCAATCTTAACATTTTCAGTCTTAAAATTTTCATGTTCACTGTCTGTCAAGTTGATAATTTTCTGTAAGGGTTGAACTATCGGTTTAAATGTTTCAGTCAGCACATTTTCAGCTTCTTCTTTTCCTAATTTTAACATACGATGTTTTCGCCTAATTGCTTCACTAGCTTTAGCAATTTGATAAAGATATTCTTTTTCTTTATGAAACATGTTATTATTACAAGGTTTCATATTGAACTAACAATATTTTAGGGATGATCTTATATTTATAGTGTTACAAAGCTATCAAATCCTTTCCTATATCTTCCATCATTTAAATCAGAATCCTTATCAATTACTACAAAGCCATACTTGTCTGAATTCCAACATGTTGAACATAGTTCTCGAAATTTATTAAATGTCATGTCAGTATTAACGTGGTCATCATAAACATGCCTTAAATTTTTCTCATCTTGACGAAAAAGAACTAGTAAATTAACATTATCACGTACTAAATGTTTAGGAATGCGGGCATATGTTTGACAAAGATAAAAAGAATCAACGTCAACATGTCTACCCATGCAAAAGAATGCCCTTACATTATCTTGCTTCTCGAAAGCAATATCATCAAATATAAATATTGAATTCCGTTTTGCATCTTTAGGAGTAATGACTTCTTCATGCTCACTAAATGGTAAATACTCTACTCCTTCAACATTACTTACAACTTGTTCCAAGAATTTATACTTGGGTTGATGTAAAGACTTTGAATACAAGTAAATATTATCAAATCTAAGACCATTAGGATGTAAAATTAAAGAAAGTAGTACATTTGTCTTTCCACAATTTGATGGTCCACAAAAAATAGCTCGAATACTACCGGAAAACAAACTACCATGACGCTTCACTTTCTTCTCTTGTTGTTCAACAATCGAGTCTAGATTGACGACTGGTAGTTTGTGAAGTTGTTCCTTGAACCGCATCCTGATTTACACTGCCGCTAAAGGTATAAATACGGCGCTTATATAGCTCACAAGTCATTATAATTTTAACTTTCACAGAGTAAGGAATGATTATACATCATCGCTCTCAAGGAAAAGGTTTAATTAATAAACTTATAAACAAGTTACCATTTGAATTACATTTGCCAGGTTATCAATATTGTGGACCGGGCACAAAGTTAGCAAAACGTCTAGACCGAGGTGATCCAGGTGTTAATCCATTAGACACAGCTTGTAAAGAGCACGATATTGCTTACTCGAAAAATCGAGAAAACGTTGAAGAAAGAAACACTGCTGATAGAGTATTAGCTGACAAAGCGTGGCAACGTGTATTTGCTCCAGACGCACGATATAGTGAAAGAGCTGCAGCTTACGCAATAACAAACGTTATGAAAGCAAAATCAAAATTTGGAATGGGAGTAAAGAAGAAGATAAAGTCAAAGAAACGAGTAAAGAAGATAAAATCAAAAAGACGAGTAAATCTTAGAAAAATTGTTGATGCTGCAAGAAAATCAATAATTCCTGGTAATGATGCTCGTTTAACAATAAAGTCAGCTATTGAAACAGCTCGAAAAGCTGTAAGGAAAGCAGGTGGTAGAGAAAAGGTTTTAACACCTCGTATTCTAACTGTTCCATCAAAAGTTGGTGGTCTGTTACCATTAATTCCAATTTTTGCTGGTCTAAGTGCACTTGGAGCGCTTACTGGGGGAGCTGCTGGTGTAGCAAAAGCTGTTAATGATGCAAGTGCAGCAAAAGAGCAGTTGAAGGAAGCTCAGCGTCATAATAGAGAGTTGGAAGCAGTGGCACTTGGCAAAGGTCTACATTTAAAACCATACCGACAAGGTTTGGGACTTCATTTGAAACCATACGTTAAAGGACAAGGTATTAAAAGACTATGTAGAAAAAAAAAGTTTAAAGCTGCCTCAACGAGCACTTACAGATCTAGATTTACTTAAATATGCTAAAGACATGAAGATTTCTCATTTCCGAGGAGTTTTTATGCGAAATGAATTACCTATAAAAGGACCTCGAAAAAATGAATCAGCCATTATTAATTTAGATGATAAAGATGGTTCTGGAACTCATTGGGTTGCATATAAAAAAGTTAACAATAAAGCAGTATACTTTGATAGTTTTGGTAATCTTCAACCACCCTATGAACTTGTCAATTACTTAGGTTACAATACTTTTATACAGTATAATCATCAAAATTATCAGGATTATAATAGCTTTAATTGTGGTCATTTATGTCTAAAATTCTTATGTGGACAGCTTGAAATAACTCAAAAATATATTCTATATAAGTGATTGTAAGTCATTCCACCTAATCAGTTTATAAAAAGTCATCAACATGGAAGAATCTTTTACTCTGACTATCTCAGGCAATTCATCTGTCCTGGAGGCAGAATATTTTCCTCCGATAGAATTATTATCTAACAAAAATTATGTACTTGGCTTAGTTGAATTACTAACCTTCAATTCAATTCCTAATATTGATCAAGGTAAAAATAAATTTTATATTGGTGATAAAGTGATTACTATTCTCCCTGGAAGTTATGAAATTGAAGATATTGAAAAATATATTAAAAACTCTATTGAAAATGGATCTGAAATTGTAAGAATCAAACCGAACAATAATACTTTACGTAGTGAAATAACAAGCAGCCTTGAAGTGAGTTTTAAACAAAACGATTCAATTGGTAAATTATTAGGATTTACTCCACGAATATTGACAGCTAATAAGCCTCATACGTCAGATGTACCAGTAGCTATTCTTAAGGTCAATGCTATAAGAATTGAATGTAACATTACTACTGGTGCATACATAAATAATAAAAAGGTACACACAATTCACGAATTTTTTCCAATTGTACCAGCTGGATATAAGATTGTGGAAGTTTCATCTCACGTCATTTACCTTCCAATCGCCGTGAAGACAATACATAATATTCAAGTAAGAATTGTTGATCAAGACGGAGATTTAATAAATTTTAGAGGTGAAACTATAACAATTCGATTACACGTTAAATCAACGTAATGGGAATTATATTTCATAGAAAAACTGGTGGAAGCTATATAAAAGAGTTGCCATGTCAAAAGTCATTCATTCCTCAATCAGTTCGCAAGAGACTAACATCTCAGAACATACTATTTCTGAAGCAGCTCGGCCTAAGAGTTTATCAAGAAAACAAGGGAAAAAATTGATTTTTCACATACTTTTTATTTGTTGTTGTAACAAAAATGGAAGAAATTTTAAACATTCTAAGTCCAGTTAAATTTGATAATTCTGTGGCACACTATGAGATTCATGCACATCAACCATACGTGTCATCAGCATTCAATAACAGTGATGAGATTCGAATTGCAGTTCAACATCAAGACTTGTACATTCTTCCCTCTAAAAGTACTCTACACGTCACTGGCAGAATTGTTAAGCCAAACAATACGCTTGTAACTGGGTCAAAATAAGTGAAACCGGCCAATTGAAAAATTTTTATCTCCAATTTTCAAGTTATCTATGATTTTTAGTAGATATATGAGTACACTTTTTCCCCCTAAAATATTTTTCAAAAAAAAATTTTATTTTTGAAGTAATTAGGTATTGAAGTTTTAGGTCATTTTATTTTCATTTTATTATTACTTTGAAACAAATAAAGATAATTAAGTAATTTTTTTTTAATTAAAGCTTAAAGTCTATACTTTAAAGATGAAATAAAGCGATTGCTAAAAAATGAAAATTTATAATTGTTATTAACAATTCTTTTAAACAATTGCAAATTGAAGAATGTTCTCAATGTTTTTGAAAGATTAAATTACGATATATTGATGCGCAAAACTATAAGGATTCATTTAAAAAAAAGAAAAATGAGTAACCTCCAATATTATAGAAATTATGTAAATTTTGCTGACAAAATGCAAGCAAAAATTGACTCAAGTTCCTGGAAAAAGATAAAATTGCAAACGAATAAATAAGATCTTCTTTTGTTTTGTTAGAAACTTCACGCTTTCAAGCGGATTTTTAAGATTAAAAGTCGATTTTGGCCTGCATTTTGGCAGAAAAATGTACACAATTTCTATAATATTGGAGGTTACTCATTTTTCTTTTTTTTAAATGAATCCTTATAGTTTTGCGCATCAATATATCGTAATTTAATCTTTCAAAAACATTGAGAACATTCTTCAATTTGCAATTGTTTAAAAGAATTGTTAATAACAATTATAAATTTTCATTTTTCAGCAATCGCTTTATTTCATCTTTAAAGTATAGACTTTAAGCTTTAATTTAAAAAAAAATTACTTAATTATCTTTATTTGTTTCAAAGTAATAATAAAATGAAAATAAAATGACCTAAAACTTCAATACCTAATTACTTCAAAAATAAATTTTTTTTTTGAAAAATATTTTAGGGGGAAAAAGTGTACTCATATATCTACTAAAAATCATAGATAACTTGAAAATTGGAGATAAAAATTTTTCAAGTGGCCGGTTTCACTTATTTTGACCCAACTAATACAAAGTTAATTAGCAATGGTATTTCCTACCTGTTTAATGAGATTCGTTATGAATTAAATGGTGTTGAAATTGATCGCTCTAAAAATGTTGGTATTACAACCACAATGAAAAATCTAATTTCTCAAACACCTAATCAAATGATTTACTCTGAAAATGCTGGTTATCTACCTTATGATGATGATACTAGAGTAACAAATGATGCTGGATATTTTGATGTAAATATTCCACTAAGTATGATTATTGGTTTTGCTGAAGACTATCGAAAGATTGTTGTAAATGCAAAACATGAACTTATTTTAACAAGATCTCGTACTGATCTCAATGCTGTAGTAAACATTGGAGTAGCTGAGCGTGAAGAATTTAAAATCATAATTAATAAAGTTGAATGGTTGATTCCATATTTAATGGTAAATGATCGCCAAAAAATTGAATTATTGAAATTCATTGAAAAAGACTGACTTATAACAATGAGTTTTAGATCATGGGATTTGTATGAGTATCCTATGATTCCTGACACTCAAAAGCACGTGTGGACTGTAAAAACTTCAACACAAGTTGAAAAACCTCGATATGTTATTCTTGGCTTTCAAACAAATCGAAAAGAAGATCGAGGAAGGTATGCAAATTTATTTGATGCCTGTAATCTTCTCAATGTTAAACTTTTCTTAAACTCACAGTACTATCCTTATGGAAATTTAAATTTAAATTTTACTCAAAACAAATTTTCCATACTATATGATATGTATTGTAATTTTCAACCATCCTACTATGGAAAAGAATCTGAACCTTTATTAACTAGAAATAACTTTAAAGATTATGCACCATTGGCTGTTATTGATTGCTCAAAACAAAACGAATTTCTAAAACAAGCATCTGTAGATGTGCGATTGGAATTTGAAGCAAATGAAATTTTTCCAGCCAATACAGCTGCATATTGCCTTATAATTCACGACCGCATTATACAGTATACACCAATCAGCGGCGTTGTTAAAAAAGTAACGTGATTGGTAGAAATAATGACCAATCATAGACGACATCGGTAGTGGGGGTATTTGGAGTGGTGGGGGGGAAAGGCTATAAAGAGAGCGTCTCTCTAAGGCTTGAGCCATTATTCTACTTCGGACACCATGGCGTACGTCGTAGATATTCAGTGCTTCAAGAGACCTTACAACGAGTTTGTCATCAAAGAGTTGGCGATTCTACCACTTCAACAAGATGCTCATCCATTGGTCTACCTCTTCGAGCCGCCATATGCCTGGAGTCGATTGCCTGCAAGATATAAATGTGAGAATCGATGGCTTACAAATAATTATCATGGTATCGATTGGGCTGCTGGTGACATTCCTTATGAAGAATTACAGCCTATAATAAAAGAAGTATTAATAGGTACACCTACTGTTTATGTAAAAGGTTTAGAAAAACAAAAATGGTTAGAAAAATATACGCTAAATGTATTTAATTTAGATGATTTTAAATGTCCGTCGCTAAAAAGTTTAAGTGTAGATAGTTCATCTACATGCACAAATCACACACGTAACTTTAGCAATTGCGTTTTTAAAAATGTATGTAATCTACGAAATTGGTTGATACAACCGTCAAATGTACTACGAAATAATATAGAAAATAATGATGAAGTTGACAACGATTGTACATTGAAAGATTTTTATAATGATTGTGAAAATTTCCTATTTAATGAATAAATGTATTAAATGTATTACGAATGTTTACATTAATAAACCCTTCCACATCCTATTATCTTTATTACATATGCGTGAAACTATTAAACATGTTAAAACTAGTCTAGACTTGTCTTATGACGTCACAAAGTAGGCGTGGCTTAATAAATAAAAGTGGGGGTAATGCGCATGCGTAGAAGCAGTGGTGGGGTATTGCGCATGCGTAGAAAAAGTAGTGGGGGTATTGCGTCATATTTGGGTATAAATTGAGGAATATCGACCGATTTAGTCATTCTGTTTTGTGACTTCACAAAGTATTATCTCTAAGAAAAGATGGATCTAACCAAAATCAACGCCATTGGTCGCATGGATGCTTTCCTACCTACGAAGCCGCTTTCCGAACAGTCTCCTGGACATAAGTATCCTATAACGAAGATCCAGGTTGTCAACACCAGGTATGGAGTCAAGGTCGTCGTTGAGGTGGATAAAAAGTTCAATACATTCCTACCTTCAAGATTTGTACCAATGTTCACCGATGACTCGATATGCTTGGACCAAATGCAAGAAGCAATTAGTTCTGGACAATTGCGTCTTAAGTATATTGGTGGTCCATACAACCATATTGAATTTAAAATAAAACAAGTGTAAATATTGTATATTGAATATAATAAATGTATAAAATGTTATTAATACTGTATTTAATTAAATACCTTTATTAGTATTACGTTACATAATAAGAAATAGATTTTAAGGTTATGTTTAATAAAATAGATTTTAACAACATTTAGTAGCGCCATCTATAGAGTCTTTGGTAAACTCTGTAGTGTAAACAATATGGCGCCATTTTTGCGCGCGAAATTTAAAATAATTCAAGCGACTAGGCTGCTAATTTTTTGTAGCGCCATCTGTTGGATAGTGAGTAAGCTTCCACTGTCGGTAAAACAGTTTACTCGCGAAAGACAGTTTAGTTTCAAAGAAAATGGCGTCCAAGCAATTTTAAATTGCCTAATAAAATTCAAATCTCCCGCCAACAGTTCCGTCGGTAAAACAGATTCCTACATTGCCACCCGGGTTTGAATTAGTGACAGATACCTACCCCACCGACTGTTGGTAATGTAGGAATCTGCATTACCGACTGTAGGTACTTAGCTGAGATCAGAACCTGCGCCAGAATCGGCTTTGCTATACTACTTTTATTAATAATTCAAATGATTATAAAGATATATAACAATAAATTAAATTAAAAAATAATATTAATATGAAAAAAAATTATAAATTTTCCAAAAAATTCGAAATTTTTTTTTTTTAATTTTGACAGATTGCTGTAAATTAATCAGTTATAACTTTTATAAGATATATATAAACAATAAATTTACAGATTTTAAACATATTAATTAGAACGGGAGGTATTCAATTTTTTCAAAAAATTAAAAAAATTGAAAATTTCCAAATTTTATATTTTTTATTGTATATCTTTTAAACTTTCTGTAATTAAATATTACATGTTATTTAGTCATATTTTAGCATAATTTTGAAAAAAATACTGTCCTATAACTATAAGATGGAAGTATAAGTATAAAAATGTTTTTAATATAGAAAAATTGAAAAATTATAATTGACAGACCAATTACTATCAAGCTTAATTCAGTAGTATTTTTGGGGTCTCTGATAAACTTTTGACTTCAAAATAATGGAATTTAGAATTATTTGTTTATCCAATTAATCAACAATTTTCAATTGCAAAAATTTCGAAAATATTAAAAATGGAGATTTTTTATGATAAAATTGATATTGCAGAAATTCAAGAATACCTCTGTGATACGATACTTGCATTATGCTACTGATGGGAAAAAACTTAGATAGTAAAAAGTTTTGTAATTTTAATTCTTGATTTAACTTTTAGGGATGTTTTGAGCATTATGTAAAGGCAAAAGTTAAACAAGGTGTCTATTATTATTTTTGTTTAACAAACTATCCGGTTTTTCCCAGCTATGTCCAAATTTTTAAAGGTGTATCTTTTCTCATCAAATATAAATTTTCTTGAGAAGAATTAATATTAAATAAATCTACAAATGGCTACAAAAATTCACTTATTTTATGATAATACTCTTCGACGGGTTTTTGTTTTTACTAATACTTTTAACAGGGGTTCTACCAACTGGAAAAAACGGGAAATATGCAGGAATTTAATTTAATCGGGAAAAACTGTGAATTCAGCCTGCAATATAGGTCTTATTTTAGATTTTAGCAATTATGATACAATTAATTGTGGATGGAAATTTTGTTTGGATATTTAAAAAGTAGTTATGTTGTAAATTTTGTTTATTATAAATCCATAATTTATTATACTCCTAGCTGATACAATTAGTTCGAATTTGACTTTACTGTAACTCCAAAAACTGGTGGAAATTTTGGATTAACTTATAATATAATAATTAAATTTCTACAAATAATTGACAAACATTGTTCTCTGCATTTTAATTAATTAAAAATAAATTATTTGATGATAAAAAGTCAATCACTGATTTAAAATAGTAATATTTATCTAATGAAATAGTTAATGGTAGCTAATTATTATTTTTTCCGGTCAAATTAAATTCTCCGCTATTTCCCATTTTTCGAGACTGGTAGACACACGCTATTTAATGTATTTGAAGAAACTAAAACCCGTCGAAGACGGGTACGACAGCTAGTTATTCTTACTTTTGTTTAAATTATAATTTTATTTTTAATGTACATCGGCATTTCAAAAAAGTTTGGTAAATTTGCATGATTAGAAAAAACTGCATCTTTTTAGTATACTATTCTGTAACTAGTTAGTAATTAACAATAATAATTTGTTTAAATTTTGCTTAAATAATAATAATTATGTTTTAAATCTGCATCGGTATTTATGTAAGGTCCGGTAAATTGCAAAATTAAAGAAAAATACACCTCTCTAGGTACAATATGTAAAAAGTTAGTAATTAATAATAATAATAATTTGTTTAAACAAATAAAAATTTAAAAAATCCACAGTATTCTTACAAATTTATAGCCTGTCATTTTCCAAAACGAAAAATTGAATTCGGTTAAAATTTACGAATTATAGGTGATTTTGAACATTATTTTGTATGTATAGAGTATAGCCTGAAAATGCGCTTTTTACGGTTGCGCGCAAGGACAAAATATCCAATATCTTCTCAAGTTTCAGACCCTCCATCAATTTTCTTTGTGGAAAATACTCGTGAAATAAGTGGGAATCGAATCATTGTTATTAAAAGCAAAAAAAATTGCACTTTTCAAAAAATTGTTTATTTAAAAATTATTTTTTAAATAATTTGTTAAAAAAAAAATTTTTTTCTTACGAAATATTTTTTTAAATTGTAAGTAAACAATAAGCATTTCCTCAAAATTTCATTAAATTTTATTCATTTTTCTCTGAGATATATTATGTTCAAAATTTCAACAAAAATTTTAAAAACCTCGTAAATCCAAAATTTTTTGAAATCGATTTTGGGCTTTTTACTGGCATGTATTTCACTTTAAAATTTTAAAGTTTCAACAAAATCGAAGAACTGGGACAAATTTGATTTTTTAGGCATGGACCTACCCAAATAGAATTATGTAGTGGTTGTTACCACCAGTTATCATAACTAAAAGAGGTTCAAACTACCAGTTATTCTAATCTAACAGCATTTTTAACTACCAATTATTGTAATTACCATTTATTTAAATTCTTAACGGTTGCAACTACCAGCAATTGTAACTAAGAAGAATAATTTCTAAAAATTACAATTATAACCCTTTCTGAATTCAATTATTATTTACAATTTTCAACTAAACTTCATCTCTAAATCAATTATTTTAAATAATTTTCCTAAAGATCTTCGATAATTCAAATATTTAAATAAGAAATTCAATTTTTTATAATAAGAATTAAAAAATTTCTAAACATAATTGAAATTTGGTGAAACCTTTTAAAAATAATTGAATTTTTGAAAAATATATAAATAAAAATAATCAAATTTTTTAAGAATTTCAATTATAAATATGATCATGATTACTCCGAAATTTGAATAAGTCTAGAAAAGTAAATTTTCATAAATTTTTATTTACACTTTGTTCGAAGATAATTAAATCTGAAAAAATTGTGAAAAAACAATTCTAAGAATTAGTTTTTAAAAATATTTTAATGTAATTTTTCGAAAATAATTGAATTTTAATTAAAAATTTTGAACATGATTTTTTTTCTCTAAAATGTTAAAAATTATTGTTTTTTGTATGTATTTGAAGTTTTGGAAATTTGTAATAATTTTCATTTTTAAATTTATATTTAAAGATTGTTC